TATTCTCCAACGCGAATTTAGGGACAATATTGAAGTCAATAGAATATATATTTATCTAGCTCGTCCAAATAAGTAACATAGGTTTTGATAAGAGATCGATAAATACTCTTATAGGTTATGAAATCTTAATTGAATTCGTATGAATTAATGCATTTTTATGTATATGAGTTTACATAGATGTGTAGTGAATTGGAAATGTAAATGAGGATAGTTTTACTCACAAGTGATCGTTAGCTAAAATTTGTTAATTCGATTGTTAATCCATATAAAAAGAGGGCTTAACCTAAGTGAAACCAAAATTTCTAACTACATAATCCCAAAATTTTTCCATTAAGTTATCAAACATCTAGAGAATTAGATTAGTTAAGTATAATTTTAGGTTAAATTCATTAATCAAATCATTAATTGGTGGTACCTTAGTTTAGATTGAAAATTGAAACTAGGTTTAGATAAATATCGATGGTGGGTGATTAGTTATTGTGCGATGATACTTGGACTTCAAAATCCACTTAGTACTTGTCAATATCATTACGCTTATGACTTAAGCAAACAGATGGCAAAGTAATCGTTCCGTCCCATCCCATCTAGTCTTCTTCCATTGGTAAATTAGCAAGAAGATATCTTGAGTCATCCTAGTTCGTCTTCGCTGCTCCACTGATAGGAGATAGGAAATATGGATCCGGCTTGATTCTTAAGATTTATTTATTTTTAGTTTTAAATTAAATTGCATTTATTATTTAAACATAAATGAATGATATTTAAAATAAATAGGTAAATGTGAATGTAAAATAAGGACATTTAATTGATCGTCCTCATCCCACCTCTCAAAAATTTTGATACTCAAACAAGAGCAAGAAAAGAAATTAACTATTTAAGAGGAAGATATTTGAATTTGCATGCATTCTCTTATATAGATGGGGTATTTATATATTTCCCTCACACTTTCTAGGCAATTCAATCATTTCAGAAGAACGACGGGTGGCAGCCTTGCTTCGGCTAGCTTGTAACTAATTCTATTATATTAGCACATTTTACTCATCATCCATGTGCACTTTAATAACGATTTCTAGCCAGCTTGAATGGGGGAATCGTTCTCTTAATTTGTGCGAGTCATTCACGCTTGATTCTTCCTTCGCGTCATTTATGCTTCGCAAGCAGAGAACAATGTTCGCAGAGTGTATTGCTAGGTTTAACAAAAGACACAAGGAGGGATGCCGCGTACTACACACTCCCAATTGGGATCTATTTGCTTTTGTAAGATTGTAAGATTGATTTTAAATTATTTCCATAATAAACACCAATTTCTAACCTTAATGATTATGTTTATTTATTCATCAATAATTGAAATATTTTTTCGATGGATTAAAATATTGCAACTCTACTTATCTGTTGCCTTAATTTATAGTTTCACGTCATTGAAGCATCTTATGATTGCGATTCATCATACGAACAATTATCCAAAAGGCACATTAGTCATTGTCACCATCAAATACGGTCCAAATAGTAGGGACATTAGCCATTGTCACCATCACATACGGCCCACGAAAATTCTAAACCTCCTCTCTCGAAGGCAATAAAACAGGAGAGCATGTTGGAGAGAGAGAATAAATTTTGGCAAATTCTTTACTCGGGACAACATCACGCTGAATAGGATACACGTGACGTCAAGTATAAGTAGGGACGGATGGAGATGGGGGGTTGGGCCGCTTGATAATAGCCCAACCCTAGCCCATAAGCAAATTTGTATGTGAAAAATGGAAATTTTAGTCTAAATTCATGGTGAAATCAAAAGAAATAAAAATTTAGTTCATCCCAAAAATTAATTTTAACCAACTAACTTCATTTTCAACCCAATTCCGGCGTTCAATTATTCAAATTTAGTTTAAAATTCTACAACAATTACATATTTATGTTATTTACATTCATGATACACAAAAATACTCGTTATCACATCTTTGATTAAATTTAAAAGTAATTAAATTTTTCCTCGTGTATTTTTTCAAATATCAGTTATTTATACTTGTGAATTGAACTTTTATTTATTTCAATTTCATGATTGAACTCTTGATGCTCATGACAAAATGAGTCGAAATATATTTTCAAGTGGAGTGGTCAAATAAAGCTTAGAAACAATCGCCGTACGAAAATGGAATACATTGTGTTTTTTGGAGATGAATTACACCATAGAGCAATTCGGTAAGGAGACTTAGAAATTATGAATTTGTCATACAAGTGAAGAGTTTTTCTTTACACAACAATCATTTCGTGTAAGTTATTCAAGATGCTTAATCGGGAAAATTTGTTACCATGAAAAGCTTAATTTTCACAACTATTTTCAAAATATGGAATTTTAGTTCCACTAAAGTGCTAATGATCACGAAATAATTGAATCAGAACTATTTTTAAATAGAGTTATGCTATATTACCATATTGATTTTTCTAGAATAGTGTCAAATCAACATTTGACAGCATTTCATTCGTAGTTGGCCCAAAAAACGTTTTCTAATTACCAATGAAATGCTATCAAGTGTTAATCTGGCACAATTCTGATAAAATTAATCTGATAAAATGGCATAACTCTTTTAAATATTGTCATCACTTAACAATATATATAAGGAGTAAACGGGTAAACTACTAAAATTATAATGATCCAAAACTTGAAGAACATGCTCGTTCCAAATTCGAAGTACCATTTGTACAAATAAAAATCCTTTCACTTTATGTTCTCTTCTTCATATAGACCAATATAGGAAATTTATGGGGGCAATTACTTAGAAGTACATTTTGTACTGCAACCCTTTCCCCAATCGCTATTTTTAGTGGGGAAGAATAGCACACGAATGGGGTTCTTAGACGAGGGAATTGTTCCGTGGACAAACCTTATGGAGGAGCCCTTAGATTTTTGGAACCTTGGATTGTCACCAATATTTGCGTTCGGAGCTTTCTTAACCACTATCGTTTTGTTTTTAAATCTTATTTGTCTGAAAATAAGTTTGATTCGCTTAATCTATAAAATGTCACCCAAGTTCGGGTCTATATGTTGGGAATCTACTTATACATGCACAGCGGAAATTAAAATTTTTTCGATTCCCATCCAATAGATCTCATTGTGTTTGGTTAGGAATTGTGTTAAGATTGTACCTTTTCCAGATCTGCAATCCTTTTGCTTTTCTTTTCGTTCCACAGCTTTGATTCGCCACCACAGCTGTCCAATTGTCCAGCCTCCAACGGTGATCCACACAGAGAAAATGATTGCAGCCTCTAGGGTTTTCTCTTGTGCTAGCAAGAATAATGAAAACCTTAATGGACCTCAAACCCTAGTTATGTATTTATATAAACCCAAATAGGCTCGGCCCGGTCCGGCCAATAATTAATTAATCCAATTAATTAAACCCGGTCCGTGAATTAATTAATCCAATTAATTAATTCGAAAATATAAATAACAAATCCAATTAATTAATTTAT